GTCTACATCAACTTCTCTGCTCAGACCTCCTCTGCCCGCACGCAGGAGATCATAGAGTCCAAGTTGGAGAAAAAGAGAAAAAACATTCTGGGTATCAGCTGGCAGTTCAGTTACCATACAATCATTCATATACTGCAGTGTAGACAATATTCTGTGTATATCCTTCACTATTCTGCCTTTTCAATCCTTTAATATACAGTATCATCTTTTCTGTCCATCTGTCAGTCCGTACAGGTTTTAACCTTTTTTTTCCCTTTCTCTTCATTTATTCCCCTCCCCGTAGGTGCTCCTGGTAACAAGAAGTTAGTGGTCTTTGTGGATGACCTGAACATGCCTAAGCTGGACAGTTATGGCTCTCAGCCCCCCATAGAACTCCTGCGTCAATTCCAGGACTTCTCTGGCTTCTATGACAGACATAAGTTCTTCTGGAAGGAGATCCAGGTATAAATGTATAGAAATAAGACGAGCTACATTGTAATGGCTTTTGGCTGCATGGACCTACAACATGTGGTCATCCCATTTATGAATCTGCAAAGAGACAGACGAGTAAACATGCCCTTCAGTATTCAGTTAAAACATTGTTTCAGGTAAAGCTTGTAACGGAACAAGGAACATGAGCTAGTTGGGCCGGACTAGCTCCAATATATATTAGATCGATCGATTGAACTTGTCTGGCTGTTTCCAGTCTTAATGCAAAGCTAAGCTAAACTGTCCAGGAGCTGTTTTAAACACAGAGGAGAAATAATATTGATCTTCTTGTCTAACCTTGGGTGAAATGGCAAACAATCGTATTTCCCAAAATGTTGGAGTGCCTTTTTAATGTTGGATTGGTTTCTGGGTTCAGTTAAAAAAGTGTAGATATAGCTCTTTAGTTTTTCTTTTTTACACAGTCAGCATCAACTTAATTTGTTTTCTAGTTGGACTTTTAATGAAGTTTGTCTATATATATTAGAAACCCATTCATCTTGTGTGCCTGTGTGTTTGTATCTGTATGTGTGTTTATATAGTGGACCCATATTTGTATTGTGCATCGATGTAATGTTTTGCTGTTTTTAACTGTTGCTATACAGCCACATACACTCACACCCGCAAGACTGATTGCACTTTAGACTGCATGTGATGTCTCTCAGTATAATGTAGTTGAGTGTAGCTGTGTATGTGTAATGTTGAGTCAGGATCTAATGTAATAATGCACTGCACCACAGACAGACAAGGTCATCCTCACACAACCAGCATATATATATATACTGTAAGCAGATTCATGCAGAGTTACCAGTTGTAGAGTAAGGGTTATATTCAGGGAAGAGGTTTGTGTGATTTTCCTCTGGATACAGCTAAAGCAACCGTATTTTATTCAATATACTTGTTTTTCCATTTAATTAATTTATCCTTCCTGTAAAGTAATTTTTTAAATTACAGTTTAAGCCATGACAAGTTCAGTATTTATTTAAGTTTAACACCTACATTCTCACTGACGAAGCCAGAATCAGTGCAGCACAAGACAGCTAGAGAAGGAGGGATTGTATTTTGTACCCGCATTCTGACCATTTCTGTATCTCCCTCCCTGATGCTCCATCCCACCACAGCCTACTCAAATGGAGACTCTTATCACTTCCACTGGAAATGTGTCTTATTTTTCCGCCCTCAGGTCAAAACACATATTGCCCTTTTTTGAATTTAAAGAAATGCTTTCCAAGTGCTGGAATGTCAGACCTGAAAGCAGTAGAACTACTCTTCTTGTTTACAGATCAGATTGGATTAGGTTTTTTTATGCTTAAATTTATATACCTGACGTCTCACACAAGTCTTTAAGCGAGAAAGACTATCTAAACTAAAACTTTTTGCTGTACTGTATTTGCATGCATACAGTTTACTAGAAGGCAATTCATTTACATAGATAAGCCTTCATGCGTCTCATCTTTTTATGTAAGGAATTTCATTCAGCTAGATTACTAAACACCCGCTCTAGTGCTGAAACAATTAGTCTACCAGTTGATTAGTAGATAGAAAGAAATTGAAAGAAAAACATTTTTTATTTAATGGCTTAAGCAACTCTCTCTGGTTTCAGCTTCTCAAATGTGAGGATTTGCCATTTTTCTATGTTTTATGCCGTTGTGAATTGAATATATTTGGGTTTTGGACTGTTGGACAAAACCAGCAACATGAACATGGACATGTTCACTGTATTCTGACATTTTATAGACTAAATGAAATGATTAATTGACAAAAAGATTCATTCATTTTGGAAATAATCGTTACTTGTAGCCCTAATATTTTCCCATGCCTTCATTAATGAAGCTTCTAATTTGAGACATGTACTACTTCCTTGTCTCTCTGAATGTCTATCCTTTCTATTCTTCTTCCTTTCTTGCTGTCCCTTAGGAAATGACCATTGCTGCAGCGTGTGCTCCTCCAGGAGGGGGTCGCAATCCGGTGACCCCCCGATTCGTTCGCCACTTCAGCATGCTGTGTCTCCCCACACCCTCAGAACACAGCCTCAAGCAGATCTTCAAAGTGAGGGGACATACGTACACGGACACATACATCAATACAGAAAGAATTATGGCCCCCTACATGTACTACTATAGCTTTTAACCTACACTTGGATTGAAGATACAGTATATCATACACTTGTACACAGACAGACTTACTTTTCCTTAGACCTCATGTCTATTATGTTGTTATGTTATGTCTCAAAATTTACGAACTAAATTTAATGTTAGAAAACTTTACTCATTAAAAATCATTTTGTTTTTGACCGGTTCAGAAACATTATCATGTGGCCAGATTGTATATTGTTCATGAAATTCTCTCTCTGATATCTTATTCTTGCTGTTTCACATGTTCTCATTTCTCCACTTCTCTCCACTATTCATTTTCTTATGATGTGTTTTCCCTTCCAACCCTTTCCCAGGCCATCCTGAACGGTTTCCTTAGTGAATTTTCCCAGGCGGTGAAGGACTGTGCCGGTCAGATTGTGGATGCAGCTGTGGAGATATATGACCGTTTGAGTGTAGATCTGCTGCCCACTCCGGCTAAGTCCCACTATGTCTTCAATCTTCGGGACCTCTCCAAGTGTGTCCAAGGTGAGACGTGAGCACGCACTGTTTGCACATGCAGACACGCACACATTCTTATCAGCTCATTGAACACAAACTGGATTTGAATCTGATCAGTGGGCTGGTTTCTGTGGTAGACATTCCCAATCGCTCAATCAATAAAGATGTATTTTAATGTTAAGTATGGACACACATAGGTTGCTCGGGCACAAAGCATGTCTATACCCTCTCTTTTCCTCAAAAGCACAAACTAAAATTAAGCTTTGCTGTAAGAAACTCACAGACACAGAAAGTGTCTAAATCTTTACACCTCCACAGCATGGGGTACGGCTGTGACATGTGTCACATTGCGGACATGCATAAGCTCTGTCTCAGCCTCATGCTCCAAATCGTCTGCACCATCACCCCGTCTGCCTCCTTCCCTCTCTCCTTCCCCTTCTTCTTTTTACCCAGCAGGCTATCATTACAACACAAACATGAGCTGAAGTGACTTCTACGACTGCTTTTTACACACTACTTGCTCAGCATAGCTAGAGTGCATTACATAAACACAGAGTTCCCTTCAGCAATACATGCTGTTGGTGAGGGGTAATAAACCTACACCCACTCTTCCCTTTTTCTCACTGGCATCACATGGCCTCTCTCCACACAACCTCTTCTTCTGTTTTGTTTTACTTACGTATCCTGTGGAGTTATCTTTATGTGGCTCTGATTTGTGGTTGTTGTTTGTGGCTGTTTGCATTGCTCTTACCTCTTTGTTGTTCTTTTGTTATTTGTCTTTATTTTATGAGCTCCCTTTTTTCATCCTTACAGCTCTCTTTTTTATTCTCATCCCTTTGGTCCTGTGTATTATGCATGTGCATTTAAGATGAAAAAACTGACCAATTCTCTTTTCCATACATTTTTCCCTCTCTTGATGTCCAGGTATGCTGCAGTGTGAGCCGAGTCAAGTGAGAGACAAGAACCAGATCTTCCGCCTCTTCTGCCATGAGTGTCAGCGGGTGTTCCATGACCGACTCATCAACAACCAAGACAAGACCTATTTCAACACCATCGTCTGTGAGATGGCCAGTAAGAATTCAGCTCACTTTGCTAAATGGACAAACTGTTTGTATCTTGCACATGTTGGACCATTGTCAAGTGTCACATACACAATTGAAGAATACCCCTCTGTTGTTTCTTTCTACCAGGCAAATATTTTAGCATTAACTTGGAGCCCTCGTACTTTGTGACTCAACCCATCATATTTGGGGACTTCATCAAGGTCAGATTCTATCTTCTTTTCAAAAAGTTGAGAAAACATTTGATATCTATGTTCACACTGAAATACCTCATAGCATTCATGTATTCCCATTGCTCTCCATCTCCGAATCCTGTAGGTGGGTGCAGATAAAGAAGATCGTCTGTATGAGGATCTGACAGACATTGTGAAGATTCAGGCTGTTCTCCAGGACTACCTCGATGATTACAACATGACCTTCTCCAAGGAGACCAAGCTGGTTTTTTTCCAGGACGCCATCGAGCATGTCTCCAGGTGTGTGCATGCGAACTTGCAATGCTGAATTGCCAGATTTTGTGTAAGGGGGCTTCTTAGTTGGTGGTAAATGGATTTTAGCTGTAGGTGGTAAAAACTTTGAGATGAAAGTTACACCAAGGAAGAAGTTACACTAAAGACCATATGATATTGCTTTTTCAGAAAGGAATATCTAGAAAGTTTATCTCTCGAAAAACTGCTCTTACACAAAGTGTCCATAAAATGTCTTAATTTTGAAAGGTTTTAAAAGTTCATAGGATTGAGGATGTTATTATTACTTGTATAAAGTCGCATTTTTCAGTCTTGCTTTTAAATGGTTGAAAATTGTGAAATATTTTATTGATCATGCTGTAACAACTACAAAACATAACCGACATGGAACCAATACCGACTTTTCTTAATATCCGTCAGACTTTTTTTGCCAGTATGGATGTAAAATAGATGCATTTTTAATTGTCTTTAATAGGTCTTAAAAGTATTTCATTTCCCCGTTGAAACCTGCAGAAATCATGTTACAGTTTATTGTTTGAAAGATATTTGCACATATGTTTTTACAGAACTTTCTTTTTTTTTACACAATTCAGCTCTTTACCAATATAAGTGAGTGATGACTAGGTAGAGCTAGTCCATGAGCCATATATCCTCTGAAAGGATATGGCCATGGGACTTATGACCTGGATATATCTAGATAACCACAACTTTTCATCTTTACAGATGATGGCAGTGATTTATTTTTCTTTTCTTCTAGGATTGCCCGTATGATTCGCCAGGAGAGAGGCAATGCCCTGCTAGTAGGGGTGGGAGGTACAGGCAAGCAGTCACTCACTCGGCTGGCAGCACACATGTGTGGATACTGCTGCTTCGAGATTGAACTGAGCCGAGGTTACAACTATGACAGCTTCCATGAGGACCTGAGGAGGCTCTACAAGATGGCTGGTGTGGAGGGCAAAGATATGGTGTTCCTCTTTACAGATACTCAGGTATGATGGAAGACCTTGGCTGACATAAACATAATAAACATTTGGATGCCTGCATTTGTATTATTCCTTTCGCTCATCCAAGTATATTTAGAGGTGTCCACTTTCTGTCCTGTTGTAGATTGTGGTGGAGGAGTTTTTAGAGGATATCAACAACATGCTGAATTCTGGCGAGGTGCCCAACCTTTTTGAGAAAGATGAGTTGGAACAAGTACTAGCTGCCACCCGCCCTAAAGCCAAAGAGGCTGGAATCAGTGAGGAGAACAGGGATGAGGTACGTGCGGACACAAACACTTGCTGCAGAAAACATTAATCATTCTGGCAGTAAGAATGTTGCACAGTTTATATCTACAACATGTGCAAGCCAACAGATAAATTCAACTTTTCTGTAAAGACTGTCAGAGAGAAAGAGTGTCGGAAAGTTGCCAAAATTCACGTCTGTCAGTTAGACTTGCTGTATGGTTATTTTTTCATAGCTTTTACAAATATTTGTTCTACAGTAACGACAAAGCTGACACACACAAACAATAACTACACAGTCAGTTACAATATTTGTTATATAAGCTGATGTAGACACAGTTGCTTTTGATCTTAGAGACAGTCTTCTTTGTTGGACATTATTTTCACCTCACAGTGGTTGACTCAAGACTTGTGATACACTTAAAGGAATAGTTTGACATTTGGGGAAAACACTTTTTCACTCTCATATCTGTGTGGTAAATATGAAGCTACCATCAGCAGCCAGTTAGCTTAGCTCAGCACAAAGACTAGGAACAGGGGAAAACAAAGGAAACAGACAAAAGGAAAAACACAGACAGACTCTTGGGCTGTCACAGTAGCACATAATACCAGATCTGCCCACCCAATGTTCAAGATGTAAATTAAATCAAGAGATCATCAGCATCAAAATCTGCAGTAAGTAAAAACAAAGACTGACCACTGTCAGTAGCTAAAAGATAAAATGGTTTTTCATAACGCACCAGATAGTAGAGTCTGGCCAAGAGCAGTCAGTTAAAGTCAGTGCCCCCAAGCGAGCTGTAAGAAAATATCTGCCTTTAATGTTATCTGCCTGCTGAGACCGAACCCCCAGAAATGATGGAATCTCTGCGTGTGTGTGGCCCTTTAGGTGTTCCAGTATTTCATCTCTCGTGTACGGGAGAAGCTGCACATTGTGCTGTGTATGAGTCCCGTGGGCGATGCCTTCAGGTCCCGCTGTCGTATGTTTCCTTCACTGGTCAACTGCTGCACCATTGACTGGTTTGTGCAGGTATGCTGAGAAAGCACTCTTTCTTCAGACCATATTTAATCATTTATAGTTAGTTTGGTTTTTGCTTGTGAAACATTGTGTAAATATTACATATAGAAAGCCATAGAATATTAATGCAATTATTCTAATTAGTTGAATACATTATAGGGGTTATCTACATGTTTGTTAGGATGTATCACTCTTCTTGTTTTGAACCAGTCTACAGCATCATTCTTCTTTCAATCTATCTACAATTACCACCCAACTGCTGGTCCTAGCAGCTATACCCAAAATATCATTTCTTCTCCACTCTGACATCATTTTCTACCCCTTTCTTTCTTCTTATTGCATTTTTCTTGTTTTACAACTGTTCTCTCTCTCACCAACCATTCTCTTCACCTGCTCTTATTCAGGATTGTAGTTTATGGCTTTCTATCTATATTGTTCCATTTACTTCCTTTGTTAGCATATTGAATTTTATTATTAATTCAGTTGTGAAAGCCTGTAATTTGCATCTTTATTGAATGTTTTTATTATTACATTTATGTCTTTCTATTGCTGTGTTGTTAAATCACTGTGCAAACAAAAACTAAAATGAAAACTGTATGTTCTTACCCCTGCTGTTAACTATAACTCACTCTTTCCTGCTTCCCCCTTTACGCCCTGGCGCCCAGTGGCCTCGTGAGGCACTGCTCTCTGTCTCTCAGGCCTTCTTCCTGAATGTGGACTTTGGCAGTGAGGAGCTGAAGCAGAGCTTCTCAGCCATGTGTGTGGAGATACATGTTAGTGTCACTGACATGGCTGAGCGCTTCTACTCAGAGCTGAGACGCCGATACTACACCACACCTACCTCCTACCTGGAGCTCATAAACCTCTACCTGTCCATGCTAGAGGAGAAGAGACAGCAGCTAGTGCTTGTAAGTCTAACCATCAAAATACAGACTTTCAGTGTAGATGATTGGTTGTAGTGTCGATGAATCTTTACCTGACATAGTTGAAAAGGAAATAGCAGCTAGGTGGTCTAGCTAGTAGAACATTTTTCTATGTGATCAGCTTCTTTTTGGTTGTGGCACTATGAGGCATTTTGTCTTATTTTGATTATGTCTGCATGCAAAATATGATACATACATATCTGTGTGTGTGTGTGTTTATGTATAGGCCAGGGATCGTGTGAAGAATGGTCTGACCAAACTGCTGGAGACAAATGGGCTTGTGGACAAAATGAAAGTGGACCTGTCTGCTCTGGAGCCTGTCCTTAAACAAAAATCCATTGATGTCGATGCCCTCATGGAGAAACTGACTATAGACCAGGAGAGTGCAGACGAGGTCGGTGTGTGTGTTTTGTAAGAGAGAGATAAGCGAGAGAGATGATCACAGAACTTTGAAAAACATGTCTATTGTCTCTTATAAGTTGCTGAAACCATTTTTTCATTGCTGTAGTGTGTGTGTATGTGTCATACAAAAATATACCCTTGCCACAGGTGCGTAAAGTAGTGAAAGAGGATGAGGCTTTGGCCAAGGTCAAAGCTGAAGACACCCAGGCCATAGCCGATGATGCCCAGAGGGACCTGGATGAGGCTCTGCCAGCCCTGGAGGGTGCCAATCAGGCCCTTAATTCTCTCGACAAGGCTGACATCTCTGAGATCAAGGTGTTCACCAAACCCCCAGACCTAGTCATGACCGTCATGGAGGCTGTCTGCATCCTGCTCAACTGCAAGTCAGTGTGCTTTACTCCTATTCTAAAAAAAAAACTTTTCTTCCTCAAAGATTTCTTATTAGAGACATGTCCCTGCCTCTCTTATCACATAAAAATCCCCTTCTCTCCCCAGCTGATGTGTGACAGATGCCATTTGATAGGGCTTTTTCATCAATAAAGTCAGAAGCACAAAGAGGACATTAAGGGCTTGGTGAATACTAATAGGTTCCTTAAATATGATATGTGTTTCATTTGTTCAGCACAACTGATTTAATTCAACACCAACGGTCATCTGTAAACACTGTCTAATTCTGTCAGATCAAAATGAAATACTGGTGTTCGTACCCAATCGAATTTCAGTCTATGATGAGTCTAGTGACTACAAATAATAAAGAATACCCCAAAAAACAAGGACATGTATCATGATGATGCATGAATATAATCACAGTCATCACTGTAACCACTTTCATCATTATGGCTCTTATAATATCATCAGCATAATTATCATTAACATCATTTTAGTCCTTTCAAAAATGATCATCATTAGAATCACAATCGTCACTCTGCCAAATGTACTAGATTTGGGGCTTTTTTGTAATCCCACATATTTTGTAGTCAGCACCCAGAAGGATTACCCTACCATCTCATGACTCATCCCTCTGTCAACCCTCAAATTTCATCAGTCATTAATTTACTGCATTGCTACACTAAATCCAATCCTGCCCAATATCCTTTCCTTTAAACACCCAGTGTTTCGCCACCGGCGTACTTGCAGTACTATGTGGAACCTTCACTGACTGCTAGTACTATGACAAATTACATGAATATGAATGTGTAATATATATATTTATTTATGTTGGACTATTTTGTTTCCTTTTGTTCTGAGTTGTAATGTGAGTCTTTCTCTTTACTGTGATTTGTAAGCATTGCATGTACAGTATGTCATAGTGGAATTCTTACAGTAGTTTATGTTACCATGTGACTTGGTTATGTGTAAGTAGTGCTTTATTCTTATATCATTGCTAGCAATTAACAGTTCCAGGCTTGGTTTCACACAAACATGCACCATTTACTATAGATGTGTGACAACTGACCCGACCCAGACCCCAGACTCAAATTGGAGATGTATTTTGTTCCCATATAAATTAAGCCACACATGAACACTTACTAATTATCATAAGTCATGTTCCTAGGCCCCCTTTTTTCCACAGATCCTCACCAACATCACTTTCTCCTTACAGACCGGACTGGCCTGGTGCCAAGCAATTACTGGGAGATGCCAATTTCCTCAGGCGCCTGACAGACTATGACAAGGACAATATCAAGCATCAGATCCTGCTGAAGCTGCAGAAATACATCAACAACCCTGATTTCATACCTGAGAAGGTCTGTTTGGATTTCATGTCAAACACTCTTGATATGTCAGTCAGATCCTTTGGAGTAGGGCTCAGAATAAACAGATCGTGTTGAAGTTGGAGTTGAAACACTTGGACAGTTTTGAGAGTGCCAGAGCTGTGAGGGAAAGTGTAAAATATCTGCTTATGTTTTGATCATGGCATTATGGTCATGTATGTTACTGAAATAAACTGTGTTGGTTTTATGGTGGCATAAATTTTCAAGAAATTGTGGAACATACCACAAGGTATTTCTACTTGGTGTAATTCCTTATTGTGTTTCTGCTGTTAGGTGGAAAAGGTATCCAAAGCCTGTAGATCAATGTGCATGTGGGTCAGAGCCATGGATCTTTACGCCAGAGTCCTCAAAGAAGTGGGCCCCAAGAGAGAAAAACTGTCCAAGGCGCAGGTCAGTAACATACAGCAGAGTGCAGTATTAATCATATATGGACAAATTACAATTGAATGTATAGTCGTACTTTAAATCTCAACACTGCCTATTTCTGTAGTCTGTCACAATCATTCATCCACCAAATACTAATCCATTCTCCATCCCTTCTCAGTCCCACTTGCCCTGCATGCACAATGAACCAAATAATGACAATAGAAAATCACTTAATTATTGTCTAAATGTTCATGAATAATATTTCCCATGGTCCATTTCTGCCTCAATTCCATGCAGGAGGATCTGGACATGACTATGGCCACCCTGGGATCTGGACATGACTATGGCCACCCTGAGGGAGAAGCAACAAAAGCTTCAGGAGGTGGAGAACCAGATCAAGGTCCTAGAGGAGCAGTTTGACAGCAGCGTAAATGAGAAGGAGGATTTGGGTAATGGGTGTTTCCTTTATATGTTACCACTTTAAACTCTACCTGGGATTTAAACTGTCTAGCCACTGTACATTTGATATGAATTCATTCCTATTTTGTGAAAATCTCTAGCAGTGGAGTGAGCTTTCACTTATGTCTTCTATCTCTTTCTGTATTTAAGGAGGTTTTATTACCCAGTGGAGCTGAAGAAAAAAAGGTTTGCCAGAGGGTTGCCTTGCTGATATTCTCTTTGTCCCTCTCTCTTTGTGACTCTTCTCTTTCCTCAAAGTTAACACCATGGCTCTGACACAAACTCGGCTGACCAGGGCGGGGAAGCTAACTTCTGCTCTAGGTGATGAGCAAGTACGCTGGGAAGAAAGTGTTGCCTTGTTTGAGCAAGAGATCATCAACGTTGTGGGGAATGTCTTCATTGCAGCCGCCTGCGTGGCTTACTATGGAGCGTTCACATCCCACTACAGGCAGCTGGTAGGTACAGTGTGATGAGGTGCAATTGAGAGCTTTTAGAACTACTCTGGTATGCAGAATGCACAGTATGAGCATACTGTAGAGTCTTACACCTTGTTGCAATACAGCGCATCCATATTATATCCATATGAAAGAAAATGAAGTCCAATTGTCTCATTATTGTACTTATATTGCTGCTGTGTGATGCAATTCCCAGAACAGAATAAGCTATATGGTAAAGGCACTGAACTGTTCGTACATTATTAAAAGGGGGGGGGGGGCAGTGATAAAATCTGGGATAAGAAAGTAGTTAAATAGAAGAAACATTATGAAGTGTTACACAAACACCAGGGGATTTAGAGAAAACACCTCAAACCAATCATCTTTTAAACAAAACAAAGATCAATCAAAGAAAATAAATAATGAACGCACTCATGCATCCTTTCCCCAGCTAATTGACCAGTGGATAATACGGTGCCAGGAACTGAACATCCCCATCAGTTCCAGCTTCAGCCTGATCAACATTCTGGGTGACCCATTTGTCATCCGCCAGTGGAACGCAGAAGGTCTGCCTCGTGACACCGTCTCCACAGAGAACGGGATCTTGGTGACCGAGGGCCGTCGCTGGCCTCTCATGATTGACCCACAGGACCAGGTGAACTAGGATCAGGGCAGCGTTCATTAAGTGTGTTTCAGGCATTATATTGATTTGTGATTAATCAGTTTATCAATTTGCTATTCAAGGACTTCCATTTTCCATTCATCCACTTAACCCAAAGTTTCAGTTGTCTCATGTTAGGGACATGTAAATGTATAAACACTGGGTTACAAAACCAAAGGGAATAATATTTAATTTTATTGTATTTAATGTTTTATTCTACAAAGTTCTTTTTGGTTTCATGTGATTTAAAACATTGACTACATAACTATGGTACCTGCGTAAAGAACAGAAAAAAATCTCCAAAAATAGGACTTTCTGTCAGACATGGTCAGAGACAACGTCACAGACTGGCCCCTGCCACAGGATACACACACAGTTCCCAGCGTCCCCACATAGAAAGGACACAAACCGGCTCACTCAGACATACAAACATGTACAGAGTGAAAGTACTGTCTTGCTTTACATCGACATAGTGATGCAGATATGGGTTAGACGGAAACTCTGACAAGTTATTTGTGAAGGCTTTCATGTTTTGTTGTATCTAACAGACACATGATTCACTGCAGATTATATATTGTACGTTCCCACAACACTGATCTCCATCACGTACAGTATTGTCTTTTCATTGTTACAGTCTTTCTTTATTACATCAAGTACTAACATTCATTCTTATTATATACGAAATATGTAAAAAGACAATATTTTAATAACATTAGCTAAAGGTTGTTCTTTCGCCCTCAGGCCAACCGATGGATCCGCTCCAAGGAGGCCAAACATGGTCTAAAGGTGATCAAGCTGACAGACCCAAGCTTTCTCCGTACCCTGGAAAATGCCATACGCATGGGCATGCCTGTACTCCTAGAGGAGGTAGGAACACACAGTAAAACACGTTTGAGCATAAAGGAGGTGACTTATGGTAAATTCTATAAGTAATTTGGGGATGGTATGCATTTTGGTGTGTATAATTTAGAATATGGATTATACATAGATTGAAGGATGAGACCTTTATTGGACAGTCTTGTTTGTTACCGTTTGCGTGTGAGTGTTCCTGCTTTCTTGTATTTTGTGAATAGTTAAAGGAGACCCTAGATCCAGCTTTGGAGCCCATCCTGCTGAAACAGACGTTTGTGGCTGGTGGACGGACATTGATCCGACTCGGAGACTCAGATATTGACTATGACAAAAACTTTAGGTTCTATATGACCACCAAGATGGCCAACCCACACTATCTACCAGAGGTAAGGACAGCGCGAGTGCACACACACACACACACACACACTCACTTCTTCAAAGCTACAGGTTATGTTCAACTGGCATCAGAGAGGCAATGCCAATTCACCATGAAGTCTTGGATTAAACACCAACACACCCCTGCTGGTTGCTTCAGGGTTTTTAGAGAAGAAATCCCAAACAGTTTCCAATAATGGCAACCAGATATTTACTGGCTTGTGAAAAAGCAACGTTTTGTGGAGTAAGAAAAAAAAGTAGCACAAAAGAACCTTTGTGCCCTTCTGCCATGGTAGCAAAGTGCCTGCTACTATTAGTGCTTGGCTTCCTGTAATGGCATCGACTACGGTCAGTTTGAAGGCATTGTAAGAGATGTACTCACCTGCCAGCTCACTGACTGCTATGGCCTTTTATTCAACACCAGCCCAGGAGAGCAACCACACCATGTGAGTGCAAGCTTTGATTCCAGTGTTTATTCAACCCAGCAGTGCATGAAGTAGGAACTTAGACAACATGAACCCATTCAACTGCTGGCCATGAAGCCTTTTTATATTTGATATCAGCTGTCTTTAATGTGACATGGCAGTTCAAATCATATAGTGTTTTTAGGGAAAATTAGGAATTGTGGTTAGTTAGTTTCATTGTGTGTGTGTGTGTATGTGTGTGTTTCTGTTGCCCGCAGGTGTGTATCAAAGTTACAATTATCAACTTCACAGTGACCAAGTCTGGCTTGGAGGACCAACTGCTTAGGTATATGCACGAATAGACACACATGAAAAACAGATGCTGCATGCTTCCTTAATCAGATTACACATTACATTACTCACTATACAACTCTATGTACTGCAGACTGTTTGCACTTTGACCATAATCTCAGTATTTTTTATCTAGTGATATATGTATTTGATTTATTTTCTTCTCCACCCCAATCTTCCTGCAACCCCTCTTCCTTTCCTCAGTGATGTGGTGCGTCTGGAGAGTCCACATCTCGAAGAGCAGAGGAACGAACTGATTATGCGCATCAATGCTGACCGCAACCAGCTAAAAGATATCGAAGACCGCATATTGAAGCTTCTTTTTACCTCCGAGGGGAATATTCTAGACAATGAGGAGCTAGTACAGACTCTCCAGGAGTCGAAGGTAAATCTGACATCAAGCAAAGGTCATATGGGTGTTTTGTCTTTTCCTGTGTTCTTAGGATAATTAATTTGACACCACCTGTCATCATCTATAAAGATAATTTCTGCTCTGGTTTGGAATTTTTCTTGTTATTCTCCTGTTCTCCTCTATTCTATTTCCTTCCTTTTCGCTACTACACCTTCTCTGTTCTCTGTTTTGTTCCTATTCTTTTCTTATTTTTTTTTGTCTTTTCCTTTGTTTTCCACCATTCCTCAGGTGACATCAGAGGCCATAAAGCATCGCCTGGAGGAGGCTGAGGCCACCGAGCTGATGATCAACTCAGCGAGGGAGCGGTACCGACCCGTGGCTACCCGAGGCTCAGTCTTGTACTTTGTCATCGCTAGTCTCTCTGAGATCGATCCAATGTACCAGTTCTCCCTCAAATACTTCAAACAGGTGAGAGAGAGTAACCAGGCCTTTCTTTTACAGGCCACTAACAAATTTTAGTCTGACTTTTTAAAGCTACTGTTAGGAACACATTATGAAAGAACATTTATTCCTTTTCAATATCTTACCATTCTTTCTTTTCTTTAATTTCTCCACCCTCAGCTCTTTAACTCCACCATTGAGACGTCAGAGAAGAGCAGTGTGTTAGAAGAGCGCCTCCAGATCTTGCTGGACCAGATCCTGCTCAACTCCTACATCAATGTATCCCGTGGCCTCTTCGAGCAACACAAGCTTATCTACAGCTTCATGTTGTGTGTGGAGGTCATGAGGCAGCGTGGTGAAATCTCTGATGCTGAGTGGCAGCACTTCCTAAGAGGAGCTTCCTCTTTGGAAAAGGTGAGGTGGGAAATCAAGTTGAAAAAAGGAATGCTGACAAATTGCAGGTGTCAGATTAAACCTAACAAAGGTGGTAACAAAGGTGGTTGGATGTATTCCACACACCTTCGTTACCAGCATTATTAATAGCATTTTTAATGCTATAACGAAATGTGCATTCATAGTGTTTAGGCAGTCTGTTGCACCCGCTGAACATAGGTTTTAGTGTAAAGTCAACTACTAGTCCTAACTAGTTAGTTTCACACTTAACCCACTGCTTTGTTCAGTTGCACCATCTCTACTTACATACTTAAATGTACTACAAGGACTTTTTAACTAGTTATGAAATGGTCTCACTATTATACTGATGCTATACTCTATATGACCAACATAATACATAAGCACACAAGACCATTAGAAACCATTTCTATGTAGTTATTCTTAATGCCTGCCACCAGGTCGGCTTCAGTTAGATTTCCCTTGTAATCAGTGAAAAATAGGGGAAAACTTTAACTAAGTGGACTGTAGTCAAAACATTGCTGCAGAGAGTGACATTTCACCTAGTGGTGATTAATATAGGAGAAAAGGACACTAGTAAAAAGAACACAACAACAATGAACTGTTTTATTAACAAAAGAGATTGCAGTATATTAGATCATGTGTAAACTAGCTAATATAATCAATTTGTCCCTGTTACCTCATTAATAATTCAACAATCATTTATTAGTCTCTTTTGTTGTACTTAGATGTTCACTAAGGTGAAGATGGCTCTATCATATGTCATAAATAACAAAACAGAAGTCTCCATCTCTGCAAGAATACTGCATACAAGTCAGCATCCGAACAGTTAGTAGTTTCTGTTAAAGTAGCAACCAGGCGGTGACAGTGACAGTTCTGATTTAAATCACACTTGTGCCCCCCCC